ATTTCTGATATTAAAGACAAAATTCTGAGATTAAAGACAGAATTGGGAGAAAAAAGTCAGAATTCTGAGATTAAAGACAGAATTGGGAGAAAAAAAGTCAGAATTGGGAGAAAAAAGTCAGAATTCTGAGAATAAAGTCAGGATTCTGAGATTAAAGTTAAAATTCTGAGATTAAAGACACAATTGGGAGAAAAAGTATGAATTCTGATAAAGAAGTCCGAATTCTGATTTTTTTTTCTCATACTATACTGAAATAAAATTTTAAAATCAGTTAACCTTTTTTATTTTTTCTGTGGACCTAATCCTCTTCCGTACTATTGACAGAAAGTTCGGACTAACCCAATGACAAAATGTGCCAATTGTTTTATTGATTTATTTTTTCAGTCACTTAAACATTTGAAAAATTCCAAGCTGATCATAAAGCTGTTTACATTTCTTGGACTGGGTGGAGAGGGCCGTTATCGCGTTGAAGTCACGCGATTTCCGTTTACCGTTCAGGTGCGCGGTGGGAATTGTAGTTCTTTTGAAGCTCCTAACGGTGGAAGCGCGTGAACCAGAGGAATAGTCTGAACTACAGAAGGACGCGCAGCACAGCGCAGCCGTGGAGCGTTTAACTGGGGTCGGCAAAGCGCATCCAGAGTGATTCCAGGACCCCTGCGGCTGTCGACGGAAACGGGAGGAGATAAACAGAAACCTGGTAAAAGTAGCGCTTATTTTATAACGTTTATTATTCACGTGACAGCCGGAGCGGACACTTTTAATCCGCGCGCACGCAGTCGGTCAAACAAAGCAATGAAGAGACATAAAGAGACAGTTGTCTCCTCTTAGTTGGACTACCGGAGCAACAAGGGGAATAGCTGCTTTTCCCTGCATGCTGCCCCTCACAACGCGGGCTTTAGATAAGTTTAATTGCTTATATAAGTCACTATTGGGTTATAAAATTAGTCACCACTTTGACCAAAGTCGAAATGAGCAGAGAGGATTTCTCGTTGATTCTTTATTTTTAAATGTATTTTTAATTATCTTAACTACCTTCAAAAAGTAAAATATCTGAATGTTTATCACTAAAACTGCAGGTAAATAATATACCCTGCACACCCATAGAGAAAGAAATCAATAATAATAAAATTACACACATGTGTAAATATATTTCCTTAAATGAATTATTGTAAACATGAATACTAACATGTTGTTGTTGTTTTTATTTAGGAAAAAAGGGGGATCTAGCTATGGCAGGTTTGTATGCTCATTAAGTTGACATTCATTTCCCAGATTGATAAATGGTTAAGAAATGAGGCTGACAGTGGATCTTTGTTTCCTGTTCCAGAGCGAGTAAATAACTTCCCTCCTTTACCAAAGTTCCTAAGAATAAAGCCATGCTTTTACCAAAACATCGATGAGGAAATCCCTGCTCCTCACAAGCAGCTTGTGCGCAGAGTTTACACACTTTGGATGAGTAAGTAGTTCAGAAACCTTTATCTTAAAGAAAACCTTCTTAAAAAAATGTCTTTTCTTAGCTTGAAATCACTCATTTCCTCCCATCCTTTTCCTGTCTGGTCTTCAGTGTATTCGGCCACGCTGTGCATAAATGTCATCTCATGCATTGCTTGGTGGGCTGGAGGGGGAAGTGCCACAAACTTTGGTTTCTCCCTGCTCTGGCTCCTTCTCTTCAGCCCCTGCAGTTACACATGTTGGTTCAGACCACTCTACAAAGCTTTCAGGTAAATGGGGCCACTTTTAAATCCAATTAAAACATGTCATGCATTATTTAGAGCTTTAATTTAAACACGAGTGCACTGAGAAATCTGCACGCAAATACGTTTTGCCACAATTGAAGCTTTTCTTTTGCAACCATAACCTCAATGTGTTTTTATTGGCATTTTTTAATAAAGGGTCGGTCTGTTTGCCACCGACCCTGGCCACTTATTATGTCCAGGACAAAAAGCATGACCACATTATGCTTCTTTCCCCACCATGTTGCTCCATTAATAGTGCTTGGGCGTCATGACGTAATTACTTTGCGTGGCCGCCATGTTGATGGCCTCCTTTACCGCTGCTCAGACTACTGCCTACGATTACCGCGTACTGTACTCCCTCTCAGCCGTGTTTTAATTTGATTAATTTCACCTTAACTTGATTTCAACCATGGTAAACCGTTGCTGTATTGTGGGCTGTAACAACGCAACACATGATCGCCATGGGAAAAACATAAAAAAGGGGTTAACTTTCTACCGCTTTCCTGCCTGGAGGCGCAACCACGTAGTCCAGGTGTCAGAGATAAAGAGTCGTCGGCTAGCTTGGATCGCAGCTGTAAGACGACCGAACATAACTTTCCACAGTATCCCGATGTCAATGAGAGTGTGTTCCCTGCATTTTTATTCTGGTAAGTTAAAGATGCACGGTTTTATTTTATAGCCTACAGTGTTTCTTTCGTTCAAAGTTGGGATCTTTTACGGGAAAATAATAAAAACAGCAGCGGGAAAAGGCTCAAATATGTGAGAAACCCGGAGGGTTTAGGGAGGGTTGGCAGTTAACGTTACTGACTACACCTTTGAAACACATAGCAGCTAGTTAAAGGTACATTACATGTGTGAGTGGTTGTTAGCATTAGCAGTTACTAAACTAGCAGGTTCCAGAGCCCGTCTAAGCACAGCTTACCTTTGTATGGATTACTGTGTTCCCACTGTTTGCTGGCTTTATGATCTGCAGCTCCTGAACCCATCCATTCATGAACTGCACATGAGACTCCAAGGACTTGTAGCTTCGGAACTGTTTTGAAGTATAGGCGCTCACTCATCGGTGCTCCACTCATTGTTTGGAACTTCATATGGATCCAAATTATTAATAAGGCTGATTTTGTCAACATACCGGTCCCTGGCTTCTCTATTTAATGTTTCCCGGTAAATTCCTGATCCTTTTTGGGATTTTAACATCTTTTTTCTCTCTACTTCTACGTCTCTTCTTTCAACAACAACATTGTATCAGAGCTATGTTTACGTTAGCGTAGCCCTCAACATGGCTGCCACGTCCCACAATGCAACGCGGATCCCAAGCCCTATACGGTGCATTTAAGGTATTGGTTTGTCAGAAATTCTGAGCCATGATTAATGTTTTTAAACCCAACCTTTAGCGCTGTAGCTGCTGTATTTCTTGGTCCCAGTGATGATGGTTGTTCTCTAATGTTGTTTAATAAACATCTTAGGACTTCTCAGAACAGATGGATGTAAATTAACATTTAATCGGATTAATCGATTATTGAAGTACTGGTCAACAAATGTAAAACATCTTACAACATCTTTAGCTGACAGAGCAAACCCGCTTAGAGCAGTAATTATATCAAAATTGTAATAAAATAAGTAAAGATTTTGCATTTTTTGTCAATCAGTATGCTCTATTCAGAATTCCTTAAGTGGAAAAGTTTCAGTTTCACCTGGTTTATTTTGTAAAAAACCTTCTTTAGGAACCTTTGGCTATCCGATTATTAATCGATTAATCAAAAAAATAATTGACAGATGAATCGATTAGCAAAATAATTGTTAGTTGCAGCTCTAATGTAAATAGTGGAGCGAATAACATTTTCTTTAGGCTTAATGTAATCAAATAGACTGCATAAAACGCGCCATTTAGAAAAAAAAGTTTCAGATCTAATTCAAACATTGTTAATTGTTTAAATGTGATACACTGTGATGAAACTCAAAATGTGTGATTAAGTTTTTCATAATTTAATTTTGATTAGTGATACATTTTAGATATTCAGTCGGTGGTTCAGTCCAAAAAAACCAAAATTATATGTGATGTTTTTTATGTGATGTAGTCAAAAGAGATCTTTACTTTCGATTTAAATGTGCAGCCTGTTGTTTTCCCTCTTTTTGTTGATAGGATCAGTTTGCATGGTATCACTGGTCCATAAAATGTTTGCAGTGAGAAAAAGAATGAAACAAATGTAGGTTGACCGTGTCTTTTCCCATGTTATCCACAGGGCTGATAGCTCCTTCAACTTCATGGCCTTCTTCTTCATCTTTTTCCTTCAGTGTGTTTTGGCCCTTATCCAGACTATAGGCATCTCTGGATGGGGAACATGGTGAGTCTGAACTGAAGCAATTTTACAGTATTTCCTTTTATATTAGCCTGTTGTTGCTGTTTTTATTTTATCATCTTAAATGATCTTAAAGACTTTTTCTACACAAGTAGAAGGGAACGATGCTTCTAAGGCACATGCATTTATATTATTGTGTTATAAAGAAGTTTGCTTTATAGATTTAACTTGTTCAGATGTGTCTTTAGTGTTATGTGCTGTGTTGCGGTGTTAGGCCTCTACTCTCCAGGTTTGTTGTGCCGTTATTGTCCTGATATTTAATGTGTAAACACCAGAGTGTAGACAAGGTGAGGAATTAAAGGTTAAGGATCAGTGTTGTAGGTATAAGTTCTAATTTTATCTGATTATTTATGTATTTGTTTTGCATGTAGGGATGAATCTTATGAAATACTGCAGAAATATCAGTAGAAACAGACTTATTTACAGCAGCCTAAATTGTCACAGTCCTTTCAGCAGCAGCGCTCAATAATACAAACACTCAGCCCCTCCCCTCCATGCAGTCGCTCACCTGACTAAAACAATGTGCTGCTGCTGGAAATTTTAAACGCTGCTTACAGGCAAGTTTAGCATAGGGAAAAAAGAAAAATCACTAACTCAACCTATTTTAGCAGAAGGGCAAACACAGATGTTGGGTTAGGTTAGCTTTTCATAATAAAAAGAAATTCATATTAAAATAAAAACAAGCCTTTGATGTATCTTGAATGTACAATTGAGTACAATAAAGAGCTCAAAACGGCACATTAGCTACAGACCCCCCCCCATCCCCCCCACCTGCTTTATACAGAGAAAACTCCAGGTATTCGGCCACTTTCTGTACTATCTTAAGACAATCTGAACCACAGAAACAGCCTGATAATGATAACAGCGCAATTTCTGAGAAGATAAATATTTATAGGGCTGGTTTAACACTAGTAACTGCTATATGTCCAAGTTCAGATTGTAAGGCTGATTTGAAGGATCAATTCAAATGAGAAACCAGTGACGTGTGTGTAACAGTGCATGGATATGGAAGTAAATATGTGCCACTGGGATTTAAATAAAAAATGTCACTGAAATATAAATGTTGTATGTTTGTACTTAATCTTTCTGTGTTAAAATACACTACCGTTCAAAAGTTTGGGGTCACCCAAACAATTTTGTATTTTCCTGAAAAGTCACACTTATTCACCACCATATGTTGTGAAAAGAATAGAAAATACAGTAAAGACATTTACAAGGTTAGAAATAATGATTTGTATTTGAAATAAGATTTTTTTTTTTTTTACATCAAACTTTGCTTTCGTCGAAAATCCTACATTTGCAGCAATTACAGCATTGCTGACCTTTGGCATTCTAGCTGTTAATTTGTTGAGGTAATCTGGAGAAATTGCAGCTCCCACAAGTTGGATTGGTTGGATGGGCACTTATTGCGTACCATACGGTCAAGCTGCTCCCACAACAGCTCAATGGGGTTCAGATCTGGTGACTGCGCTGGCCACTCCATTACCGATAGAATACCAGCTGCCTGCTTCTGCTCTAAATAGTTCTGCACAATTTGGAGGTGTGTTTAGGGTCATTGTCCTGTTGTAGGATGAAATTGGCTCCAATCAAGCAGTGTCCACTGGGTATGGCATGGCGTTGCAAAATGCAGTGATAGCCTTCCTTATTCAGAATCCCTTTTACCCTGTACAAATCTCCCACCTTACCAGCACCAAAGCAATCCCAGACCATCACATTACCTC